AACCCTTCCAAAACGTGTCCACCACATGAAGGGCCTCCCCTGTAGAGAATGTGGTTCTTCTGCAGCCAAAACGTTGTGGAAGGTGATTGTGCCGAAACTCGAGGAAAATGCGCCTTTCAAAATAGATTGCACACAACAGAAAATTCATCATTTTCCATCGCATTTCATTAATTTGAAGCGTTGCGTCGCACGGCGGCTGCATGCCATGCCAACCATCCTTGAGGCAGACGGGCTCGGAGCCGGCCCTCATGTGCAGGCAACTTTGTTGGCCACGGTGAGCTCAAGCCATGATGGGATGACCGGCATGCACAAGGCAAACCGAGAGCATAACTGAAAGAGCAGGATGGCTGCCGCCTTCCCCACCAAGAAAATCTCCGACACTCTCCTCTGCTGCAAGATTTCTGGAAGCTCTCATTCTGCTGATCTCAAACATGGCACCTGAGATTTTGCAAAAAAAGTGGCACGGATGTATGTTGGAAAGCGTGTCTCTTTCTCTGTCCAAGGTGCTGAAGTTCACAACCCCGGCCTTACTGCGACATGTCGCTTGACAGCCTCTCTTTCAAGTGAGGCGGTGCCTTTGAATCGACAAGAGACGAACTTGATGCTTTGAGAGTTGTTTGAGGTGAAGGTGCGTTATAAACTCTCCATCGACTCAAGAACTTGATTGTCTTCAAAACCGAAGGACGTCTTGGACGGGAAGGGAAGCAACCTCATGTTGTAGTGTTTCGAGCTGATGATGCCAAGACAGAACAACATGGAGGTCGTCCAAACAGGATTCACACAATTCATGTCTTTGTTGGTTTTCAAAGAAAAGTCGTCTGATGTTGTTGGAAGTGCAGCGGCAAGCATGTTCGCAAGATAGAGCTGCGGCATGCAAAAGAAAAGAGAAGCCTAAGCTTGTGACGATGACGCAAAAAGCCGCCACGTTTAGGGCCTAGGGATTTTTGGTTTCGAGAAATCTAGACATTCGCTGGGAACGCTTCGATGAGAGGAGCCGCCCCGAAAAGCCGTGTGTCAGTCGACCGATCGTTGGCGATTCCGGACTTCTCAACTGTCTTGGCAGACCCCCCCAAACTCCTTTTTTTCATGACTGCGATTGCTCGATGCAGATGTTGGGAAGCAATTCGTTCACAACGATGCTGCCGCTGACATCGTTTGCATATTGTCTGATGGACAGCATGTTGTGGCCCAGCCAGCACTTCACACTTAGCAGCCTACCCGGTCGTAGGATTCGTGAGACCAGTCAACAATATCTGGATTTACTACAGTAGCTCAGTTCAGCATAGCTTCCTTGTTCGCAGCTATTCTGATTGCCAGGTGCTGACGTAGCCGTGATTACCGATGTGCTAAAGCCCCTAAAGCCATGCACATCCGAGTCAAGGCTCGTCTCCGATTTGCACGGGCAACCTGGGATCTGCGGTCATTTGGTTCCAATCGTGCAAATCACCAAGGCAGGAAAGGATGGACAATTGTTCTGAGGCTACAGCTGTTCTCACCCAACCTGTAGCCCGCAGTCTCGCAGCCGTTTGGGTTACAGGGAAACAAAGCTGCAAGGAGGGAAGGTCACTTCGGGTAGCAAGCGGCCATGATTCCCTGCGTGCGGTCCTTGGAAACTCAGCAGTTCTTGCCGTCTTGGAGTGTATGTCCCTAAACCCTGAACCCCAACCCCTAAACCCTTATTATGAGTAAGGTGCTGTCATCCACGCGTCGAAAGCTGCTCCTCGGAGTCGGAGTGGGTTCCGCTGCCGATCTTTGCTTGAACTCTCGGTCTCCGAGGTTGAGGCTTCTAACATCGCTGGGAATCTGGTTCCTCGTGGACCAGTGCGGACGCAACTTCGTGCTGAATGGCTGCAAGCCGACTGGAGATGCTTTCCGGAAGACTGTCATCTAGCTGCACCTAAAGAGGCGCTGCGTCCCAATCCTTTTCCTCCGTATGCGTCGAATCCACGTGAGGCCATGATCGGTTCGCAGCGGCCGACTCTCTTTGCGACTGCCCCCCCTGAGGTGGAGCAGACCGTGTGTAAAATGTCTACATATCTGCTGAAGCTACGTGTCCTTACACACGCACACACACACACACCTGGGCATGTAAAAATGCCGGAAAGCTCTATGAGAAGAAGTTTGCATCTATCGGCTCCCTGCCAGGGCACCCTGAGACTTCGTGCCTTTGGCATGACGGAGATATCATCGGAGACCCTCGTTCAGTACCTTGGAGTCAACTTGAACGTGTCTAGAGCTTAGTGACTTACTGCTGACTATGTTTACCTATAAGGCCTTAAACCCTAAACCCNNCCCTAAGCCCTGAACCCTGGACCCTAGATGATGGTGATCTCTTCGACCTTTAGCTGGACGATCCTGCGTTGGAAGCCTGATTCAGTGATCTCGGGCGTGGAAGATCTACTGCAATATGAAGCTGACATCCTAGCCCCCTTCACTGCATGAGTGTTCCAAGAGTGGAATCCAAGTGTGCCCAGGTTCTTCAACACAATCCTGGCCATTGCACCGGCAGTGGCATGCAGCTTCTTTCTTCGTGTAGGCCGCCACAAGTCTCAGGGCTTTCCAGGCTACATCAAACATAGGGCGAGCAGCTCCCCTAAACCCCTAGTTTAAGGTCTAAGTATGGAGTTAGGGCTAATAAGGCCCAAAGCCTAAGACTGTAGCGCCAGCCTCCAGGGCTTTTCCTTGATCGAAAACTTCTAGGGCCCACTCAACTCCAAGTCCTTATTTAAGTCCTTTTCAGTCCGCTGAACCCTAAAGCCTAAATCGCGACTACGCCTCCGCAGGGAAAGCGGGCTTGGACAGCTCCCAAGGCGATTTTCTGGGTTTCAAGGAGCTCATCTGCCAGAAGAAGGGAAGGTTCTTCGTGTTTGGGGTTTAGGTTTTAGGGTTTAGTGTTCAGGGTCTATTTTGGGTTCAGTATTTTTCGACAGCAATTTCCGCAGCCTTGCAGCTTGTTGTGGTGGTGGTAGCAATGGGAGTAGTCGTCGTCGTCGTCGCCGCCAGAATCAGTCGTAGTGGTGTAGGTGCAGGTGTAGTCGAAGGCGGAGGCGTACTGGTAGGAACCGTGCGATTGTCACCAGTCGATGTAGGGGTGTCAACCCGTTTCTCGAACTTTGGCTGCAGCAATGCTCCAGCCGATTCCATCACTCTTACTGCTGGTGTTCTTCCTAGCCCTTTTGTTGGTGGTGTATAGGTTACCCCTAAACCCTAGACAGTAAAACCCAAAACGGTGCTGCCAGGAGTGGGAGACGGCTAAAGAGAGCTCTCGAAGCGTTGACATCGGGAGGGTCCTGACAAGCTTGGACCTGCTCCGTGAGTCCGATGCCAAGTTGAGGTTTCCGAGGGTTTGGGGCCATTTTGGTTTCGGGTTTCGTGTTTGAGGGTTTAGGGTTTCGGGTTTAGGGCCATTTTTGGTTTAGGGGGCTATTATTCATGATTCATTGTGGCCATTACTGGTGGTGGGAAACATGATGCTGGTATTTCTGAAGGGCACCTGCAAGTTTGAGCGATGTTTCCAGCAACTCCAACTCTTGCAAATGAGCGCTGATTGCTGCTTTGCTTACCACTCTCACACAGGCTGTTCTCTTATCGACCATCATCGCCTTATTTAGGTCAGGGTTTTGTTATCACAGCTCGTTTCCACCAGCTGTCCGCCCTCTCTGCCTCTGTGTGGTTAGCTTTTCTTTCATTATCATGAGGTTGCAAGGGCCGCTGCTGCTCTTCAACCTCGTATCTGCCGTGGCTTGCTTGGGGCAAGGACTGCGTGGTGAGCCGAGCAGTCCCACACAGACCTTTCAAGAGCAAAAACAGTAGGAAGCTTGCTGTTCTTGTGGCAATAGGGCTCGTGCTGAAGGACCTGTGGACCTGACATTTCCTACCATGCCTTTCATCATCGGCTTCCTCACGTTGAGCTTGCTCCTGGCGTCGCAAGCTCAGCTGCCTCAGAGCAAGCACGGCAGAGAGGCATCTTCGGCGATGCCAATGGCCGATGCTGCCAGGTTCCGGCTGACGGGCGCGCAGTCCCGCACATCTCGGGCCTATGATCTCTGGGACGATGTATTGAGCAACTGCAGGACGAGGGCACCTGTTAAGAGCTGTTTCCGGAGTCCAAAGGAGCGAAAGGAGCCTGAGAGTATATAGCTTGAGCGTTCCGCGAGTCATGACCGGGCGTGCTCTTCAGGAGCCTGCTGCAGTTCCGGGACAGCCTGCGACGCTGCTCGAGCTGCACCAAAGCTATTTATGCTTTCTCTTCTGGCCCTCGGTGCTGAGCACTACGGCGACTACGGTCGGTTTGTGAGCTCAGGTGACCACTTCATGGAGCTCGCCCGTTGGATCCCAGCGTTCCCCGGGGTGCAGATGTTGCATGCAGACGTGCCTCATGATCACCTGGGTTTGCAGGTTCCCCGCAGCTCTGCTGTGCCACGTGAGCTCCGGGCTGGACTTGAGGACCCAGCTGCGGCAGTCCCGGGGTCCGGATCATGAGGCGCACGAGGCACCACGGGCACAACCCCCATACCCTGAAACTCTAAGACTCTAAGCCCTAAGCNNAAACTCTAAACCCTAACCTCGAAACCTTACATCCGTGTCCGGGCAGCGCTGATGGATATTTGCCACTGGCAGCCGGCCCCGGCTTTGCAGGTCCCGGAGATCGGCGGCTTGACGGAGGCTGAGATCGCCGAGGTCTCCTCGGGAGCCGGACTAAGTAGTATAAGATAATATGCATGTTAACATATGATATGATATGTTATGATGTGATATGGTACAAAACAAGACGCTGTAGAATGACATGACATGACATGACATGACATAGCATAACAAAAGATAACATAACACAACATATCATAATAAATACAAGTTATAGCATAACACAATAGAACATAATACAATAGCACGTAATCAAATATATCATGACATAATATAGAATATTATAATATTGCTTAGTACACGATGATATAACATATTAGAATATGACGTACTGGAGTATAACAGAATATACTGTAAGATTGTATGACATGAGGGACAGAATATATAATCGTACAGTGTAAAAATCAAAACAAGACGATATGATGTGATATGATATGATGTGATCTGATATGGTTTGGCATGATAGAATACAAAACAGTATAGTGTAGTATAGTACAACATAATACGACGAACTATAACATAACATAATACAGTTTAGTATAATATTTAATATATTTTATCATAAAGTATTATATACCATAGAACAACAGATTATATATATATATATATATATATGTATATATATATAATAGGATAATACGTTAGTATACTATAATAACATAATAAAATTTTACAGAACATAATGTAACATAACATAAAACAATACAATATAGTATATATATATATACACATGCAATACAACATAAAAATATTATGACATAAACGAACTAATATGATATAAACTAATATGATATAAAGTAGTATGATTTTCTGTGATATATCAAGTTGTAGTACATATAGCATAATTTAGTTCAATAAACACATTGTCAAAAATATTATATAATTTTTCATATAATTGAGTATAATCCAGCATATAAGATATTACAGTATGATATATTATATGACCTAATTTTGGAGCAGAGAGCCTCATGGCACTATCTGACTTAGTGGAGGTGATGAACCGCCCTGCCGGGATTTCGGCACCTCTCTTCGTCGTGCACCGACTGGCCGCCAGGAGCCAAGTGCCGAATCATTCGCTTCTGACACGGTGATATATCGTAACCCATATAGCAACCCCTATGGTCTTAGAGTACTTATAGTAACCCTCTGTAGCTATCGTAGCCCATATGGAGGCGCTGATCGCAACCCTTTTATCATGTCGGCCTGTGAGCCGAACCGTTGCTTCTGGCAACCCAACCCTAAACCCTAAACCCTAAACCCTAAACCCTAAACCCCTAAACCCTAAACCCAAAACCCAAAACCCTAAGAAAGACCCGGGCCCGGTCCCCAGGCGATTTCAAAGAAGATTGACCTATCGGACACCGAACGCATGGCCATGGATGCAGGGCTGTCAGGATCTCAGGTCCAATATCAGGGGAACTGCAGGGGGTTCTGTTGGGGGTAGTATAAGGGCTACTGTCGGGGGTGCTGTAGAGGGTACTGAGTAGTATAAGGCAGCTGGTGTGCTTTGGCATGCTTTGACTCATTGCTCCGCTGGCGCTGCCTGAGGTCTAAGCTATCGAACTTTGTGGGAAGCTGCGAGGATATTCTGCCACCTTCAGTCTCAAACTCAGGATTGGCTCAGCTGTTTCGGTGGTCAGCATTTTGTGGTCATGTGCATGTGCAAGTGTGGCCATGCTCCTTGCCACTTCGACTGACGGATTCTTTGCTGCGGATTGTCCTGTCTCCAACTTGCATGCCGAGACGCCGCTGGGCTTTGCTACGCACACGAGTCGTGCCTCGTGGCATTTTGAAGACTTGGCACAGCCTTCTTCTTGCTATGCAGACTTTGCATGCAAAGACAAGGATTTATGTTCCTGTTCCTGGCCCTTCTGCCCCTGGCTCTGCAAAGCCAGCTTGGAGCCGGGACCTCAACGGGTCACGACAGGACTCCATAGTGGTGAATGCACGCCCAATCCTTTAGATCGATCAAGCTGGTGCTTGGCGGGCAGTCTCGTCCTGCCAAGATACTGACCGTGTTTGCCGAACAGATCGTCGCCTACATCTTTCTTGGCATCAGGGCTGCATTTCTTCTCCGGGAAAAAGCCGCCGGGCAAGATGCCCGTCGAAGCCACATGCCCTGTAGTATCCTGTAGTTGTCCATGTCACCGCCCCTTCAGCAAGCCATCACCTCTCGGTGCTCTTCGTTCTGCGAACCCACCCGGGTGCGTCTCTTGGGCGATGTTTGGGTGTCTGACATGTACCAGCTCTTCAGTGGAAACTCAGGCACACAAAGCATCGCTGCAGCGCTGGAGGACCGGGCATCCACCTCTTAGAGTGCAAGCCCTGGGCCCCAAACCTTTAAAAGCCCGAAGACTGAACCCTGAACAGCAAGGAACAGCAAAACCGAGGTACTAGAGCAACTGCTCCTGCTCGTGTCTATGTCTTCGCCTTGAAGGCTGAATGCAAAACCCTAAACCCTTTACCCTCTGACTCTAAGCCCTGAACCCTAAAATAAAATCTGAGCCCTAAACGCAAAACCCTGAAACAGTAAAGTCTGAGGCCTAAACCGTGAACCCTGAACCCTAAAGCCTGAGCTCGCAACGCTAAGCCCCAAGGCGTCTTCCCTAATCCCCAGAAAACCCTGAACCCTTGACCCTGGACCCCAAACCCTGAAACCCCAAACCCCTAAACCCTAAACGGCCCTAAACCCCAAGCCCACAACCCTAAAGAAAAGCCAGTCCCATTCTCCGCCTCCTCCTGCGAAGGAGCCCTTATAGTAGCCTTTCTAGGACCCCTTGAAAGGAGCCCAGTCCCATTCTCCCCAGAGACTCCAATATCCCTTAATTAAGGAATCTATATATATATATATGTATATAATATATATATATATATATATATATATGTAAATTATAGTAGCATCCCTAATATGATTTAAGGCATATT